TACCGGGGTCACAGTGTATGGGAAGGTTCCATTTAGAAATAGTTTATCAAGGGTTAATAACTGAGTAGTAGATGCTTTAATATATGGTTAAGTGATTGTTCTTAGAGTCCAACAGATCAATAAGTTACTTGGGACCATAGTTTATAACCATCTATAACACTACGAAGGATGTGCTCACAACCAGAGATGGCTGGAAAACGGGTTTCCATCTCATGAAAAGTTTTGAGATAAAAAAATAAAAAATTCAGCTCAAATTGGGGACCAAAAGCCAAAATTTTGAATGTTTGCACTAATTTATGTTTGAATGTTTGAAATTTAAAAAAAATTCATTTTTGGTCAGTTGAAACATTTCATTTTGATTTTGACCTTTTTTAAATTATTGCTTTTAATTTGTGCTTGTTGTTTAACTTGCATTTTTTCTTATTGTCGTTTTATTGCTGGATGTAGAAAATAAAGTAAATTTCTGCACAAAAAGTCACTTTGAAACGGCAAATCAAAACTTCCCCTTTTGAAAATTTCGATAGTTTGAAAGCAGGTTTTTAAAAAAAAACATTCAAAAGGAAATATAGTCAGAACGATACAATTTCATGGGAAAATCTGGTTTAATCAAAATGACATTTTCCAAAGGAAAACTGGTTTGACAAAAAAAAATTTGACCAGTTCTAAGAACTACCTGTACCAGCCTACCACTGTCACACAAAGTACTCGCTGGGTCGGTGATATTCTTATAACATCTCATGTTCATGTATGAACCCTTTATAAACACAACCTTCCTATAAAGTGAGACCAGTACCAGTAGCCAAGAAGTCCCTAGGGACCTCAGCTGGCTTGTTGTGTAGGAGACAAAGGCTGCACAGACACACAGTGAGAGACACTTCCTGCCCCCAAACATGTTACAGACTAAATACATAAAGGGTGGGAGGGGAAACTGAGGCACCAAGCAGGGAAGTGACTTGCCAAGGTCTCGCAGTAGGTCAGGAATAGAACCTGGGTCTCCCGCATCCCAGCCCAAGAGGCACTAGACAATTGCCCTTTCTGTTTACCAGGAAAGAGGGTCTTACACATTTTTGCAGGTGGAAATCAAATCTACCTGAGGGGTGCTGAGTGCAGAGCCCCCCACTCCCCTCCCCGGCCTCCTGTCTCACCCTGACGGGGAGAGTGAGCGATGCCCTTAGAGTTAAAGGTGCATTTGTGAGAGACGGGCTGGAGCAGGGGGGTAGTGCTGGACGTTGGCACTCCAGGGTTATATTCCCAGCTCTGCTGCTGACTGGCCATGTGACTCTGCTCCGTGCCTCAGTTTCCCCATTTGGTGCCTCGGGGAAAATGTTTGGGTGATATTTCCATGACAACAGTTCCCCATGTCTCTGGGCTGGAACCATCCCTTCCCAGCCCTGCGTGGGTCGTTTTTTGTTCCCCTCCCCCGGAGGTGACCATTCTCTTGGGATGGGCGCGCTTGAGACCTCCTTAGTGAGCAAAGGGCGGGGGGGACCCATCTGGTGGGAGCTGGGCGAGCCAGCCCCTCACCCACCTGACACGTGGACGACCTTCTTGCGCCCCCTCTCGCTGAGCGCCGGCGGGGAGGAGAGGACGGCGATGAGAAGCAGCAGGGTGGTGGCACGGCACACGGGCTGCGTCTAGCAGAGAGAAGAGAAGCGCCCATTCACTGCTGGCTGCCAGGGAGCCCTCCTGCCCCTAGAGAGACCAGCGGCCCTACAGGCCTGCCCCAGAGCCCCCGGTGCCTACGCAGGGTCGAAGAGCAAAGGGAGTGTGGACGTGCCATTGGCTGACCCTCGTGCAAAGGGATGTTGGACAGTGACATCAAACTCCCCAGCTGCCCGCGGGGACTCGTTCGAGGTTAGGGCAGAACCAGCCCCAGGCCAAAGCACCCAGGACAGTGACTTTCCTGGCATGGAGTGTGAGTGACCCGGTACGCAGCGGGGACGGGGGCAGATACTGGGGGTGAGCGCAAGAGAGCGAGGGAGGGTGGAGATTACGAGAGTACGAGAGCAGAGAGGTACAGATGCCAAGGGATTGGCAGAAACAGAAACAGAAGGGTAGACAGATAGATGGAGGGGGTGTCTGGGGATAGATAGATAGATAGATAGATGATGGGGGTGCACAGGGATAGATAGATGGAGGGGTGTCTGGGGATAGATAGATAGATAGATAGATAGATAGATAGATAGATAGATAGATAGATAGATAGATAGATAGATAGATAGATAGAGGGGGTGCACGGGGATAGATAGATAGATGATATGGCCAGGGATGGATGGAGAGAGAGAGATGGATGTTTGTAAAGTGCCTTAAGACCATGCAGGTGGGCACGGCTCTCCCTCTGACTCAGTTTAAGTATCACTCGAGGACAGCACAGACAGAGCCCCGTGGCATGCATGTGAGCTGAACATACACAGCTGCTCCCATCCGCAGGTGGGTACCGCTATGGGGCGGGCGCCACCCAGCTGGACACGTGGCCCCCAGCCCCACCTGCAGGGGGTCCCAGCGTCCCCAGTTCCTGTTTAGATTTCGGTTGGGCTCGCAGCGTGCTGGGCTGTCCCCAAGCGCACGGTATCACAGCTAGCTCCCGGCCAGTGCCCTACAGTGACGACTGAATCCCACTGCCGCACAGGCCCGTGCCAGCCCGGCTTCGCCGGGGATGCCCACAGCAGGGAAAGGAGGTGCTGTCTCCTCGTTGCCTCCAGCTCGGAGCGCCACACCCCATTACACTGGCTGATTAAAGCAAATTGAATCAAGAGCAGGTGATGAAATTGGCTCTAATGTGCTTATTACCTGCCCTGCTGAGCGGGGGGGGGGCAGCTTTTGCTCGAAGATATTATTTCTGAAGCCGGTTAATTGCATTGCGTGAGGGAAATGTGCCCAATTGGCGCCTCCACCGAACTGGGCTGCCTGCTCCACCCCGGGGAGGCTGCGCCACGGGGCTCCCTGAGCCCCCAACCGCCCCCTTTGCTCTGAGCATCTACACAGGCTTCTGAGAATGGGGATGTGGCTGGCGGGATGGCAGCTGGAGTCTGTGTATGAGACGCGGCCAATCAGCTGCTTCCAAACTCAGAGGTTCGTGTTCCACCTCCCAGCCAGCCTGGGCCATGCCCACACCCTGGCTACACTGAGATCCATCGGTTCCTAGATCCCAGGGCCAGCAGGGCCCATTGTGATCATCTCGTCTGATCCCTGTATAACAGGGCCAGAGCCTACCCCGAAGTAATTCCTAGAGCGGATCGGTTAGAAAAACATCCAGTCTTGACGTCAAAATTGTCAGTGATGGAGAATCCCCCACAGCCCTCGGTAAACTGTCCCGATTCCCGTATTCCTGCGTCCCGGTCGGATGGGAAATGTTTAAGTGAAGGTGATGATTAACCACTGGCTCCACCCTGGGGTCCATCCAGGCCAGTGTCCTGTCACCAGCAGCTTCAGTAAAAGCCCGGCAGTGACGGGACAACCGGCTCCCAGGGCAAGTCCCCTCCTGACCCCCATGCTAGAGGGCAGCGCGTGTCCTGAAACAGGAGGGGTTAGAGCCAACCCCAAACTCTTGTTATTTTGTAATCCTTGCTATTATAACTCAGCGGATGCCTTTCAGTCCTCACCCCCAGCCCCCCGCTATCCTAGCCCGGGCTCCCCTCTCCCTCCTTCCCCCCAGCTCTCACAGTGCCCCTCAATCCTGACCTGCAGCCCCCTGCTCTGGGCTCCCCCACACACCCCGCTTTGCTGGTACCCCTCAGTCCTAACCCACAGCCCCCTGCTTTTCCAGCCCTGGCCATCGGAGTGCTGAACATTCAGAGTCTGGGCTAGAACCCAGCTGTCCTCTGACCACTAGGCCCTGCTGGGTACAGAAAGCGGCTGGCTAGTTGGCCAGCAGTTTCTGGGACCAGGACTCCTTGGGAATTGCTCTCACTTCCCTCCTCCCGAGAGGCTGGGCTACAGTGTCTGCTCCCTGAATGCCCCCCCTTCTCCTCCCCCCACAAAAAAACCCCCAGCACAGCTCGAGAACATTGTTGGCCATTCCCAATTCCTTCCTCTGGCCCCCTATAATGTTGGGAGGCTGCTGCTGCCACCTATAGGGGAGAAGGAGTGGTGCACTCACTGTCTCCTTCCTCATGGGGGGGTTCAAAGGGAGCGGGAGGGGGGCAGGTGCCCAGGTCCCAGCCTGCCCTGTGGCTGCCAAGGAAGAACTCTGCTTCCCAGCACATGAGACGGGACAAGCCTTGGGGTGGGAGAGGAGGCCATGGTCCATCCCTAGGATGGCCGCTGCCCCCGGGGGGCAGCCCTGGGTCCCTCCACGGGTGTGGGAAGAGACCATGCCAAGGGACAGCGATCCCCGGTCACTTGCACCTGTGCGACGGGCGTGCCACGTGCGTGTGGGACGCTGGTGAGTCCTGCCCGCTTGGCCCGGGGTCAATGCCAGCCGCCGGGCAGCGGAGCAGAGCACTGGCCTTGGGGGCAGAGGGGGGCAACTTTGCTGACACACAAACATCCCCTCCAGGCTGGGACCTGCGGCTCAGCTGCGTCTCGCTCCTTGGCCGCTTTGCCTTCGTTCCTGGCACAAACCCAGCGCTGGCCCCTGGGGCAGAG